GAGAGAGAGAGAAAGACAGAGAGAGAGAGAGAGAGAGAGAGACAGAGAGAGAGAGAGAGAGAGAGAGACAGACAGAGATAGTCAGACAGACAGACAAATAGACGGAGCAAGAGAAGAGGGAGAAGAAGACAGACAGACAGACAGACAGACAGACAGACAGACACGCAGATAGACAGGGCGAGAGGGGGTGAAAAAAAAAGAAAGAAAGAAAGAAAGAAAGAAAGAAAGAGATAGACAGACAGACAGACAGACAGACAGACAGACAGACAGACAGACAGACAGGTAGACAGAGGGAGACAGGGGGGAGAGAGAAAAAGAGACAGGGAGAGAGAAAAAGACAGACAGAGAGGGAGAGAGATGACAGAGGGACACTGGAGAACGAGTAGATTTGCTGAAAACCAAACCGATTATTCCTTTAATTATGGGGATTTTTTTTCAGATCTATAGAGACGAAGAAAAATGTATCTGCGTCTATTTGTTTATTAGAATGTACGTTAACTTAAGCCAAAAACAAGTCTTACAATTTATGGCCGAGGGAAGAAGGGGAGTTGCCTAAAATATGCGATAGAATTCACAGGCCTCCTTTCTTTAAAGGCCTAGTAACCTAGTGAACTAACTACAGACGGTACTACATTTTCTCATGACATGACAGCATCCCTGAGCATCGCCGTGGCAGCGATCACCGCGCGTATGTGTTTTCGCGCCCCGCGCCGGGCGATACGCGAAACAATGCACTGTTGTTATGGAGCGCCGCCACGAGTGTCACCTCTCTATTACTGTAAACCCTCTCTGGTGTAGGCCTGCCTCACTCAAGGCTTATATATTATAGAGGGTGCCCACTAGCGAATGCGGATCGGGTCGGGTCGGGTCGGGTCATCGGGGTGGTTTCAGTGCAAGCTACAACCTCGCCGCAATTGTACCTGACAACCTGGAAGTTAAAGTAGAGAAACCTTTAACCTTCATGCGACTACATAGAGGGCGTAAACCGGGCTACGATTGGCTGAACCTTTGACTCATGAATGCATTAAGTAGGCCTACGGTACTCTCAGACTTCCCGCACTCCCTCTCTCTGTCTCCCTCTGTGTGTGTGTGTGTGTGTGTGTGTGTGTGTGTGTG